ACACACACACACACACACACACACATTGGTGGAGGTAAGTGTGCTCACTGTACGAAGTAATCGCAATTACTAATACTTGAATGACAGCATTAACAAAACTGGGACCCACTAGGAAATTATCTTGTGAGGGCCCTTTAATTACCCACCATTGTAAGGTTACAGATAGCTTAAATATCATTTACACAAATTCTAGGGGACAGAAACAACTAGCACAATTCAGGCACATTCAGGTTCAATGATTCCTCCTTCCTTCTCTCACAATAATGGAAGCCATCCAACACACAACATGAAAAACTACCACGGCTAACTAAGCCCCTAAAGCCTTAATAAATATTAATTCACTATCACCCGGGCAGTGAAGCAAGCAGCAGGTTTTGAATCAAGGTTTTACCACTTTTTAGCTTTGTGACGTTCTAAGTTGCTTAACATCCAAGCCTCAGTTTTTTTTTTTTTAAACTACAAAATGGAAATAAGTGTCTATCACATGAAAATGTTCATGCTTGGTGCATAGTAAGGGCTCAATAAGTGTTTGTATCTTTCATACAGTTACCAACTTAAGGACTTCTCAAAGAGACTGTTCAGTGTAACCTTCAACTTACACCATGTGGTGGAAAAGCGTGCAAATTATGAAAGTACAGTTCTGGGCTTGGGACAGCTTTCCTGATTCTAACTTTATGACCTTGGGCAGGTCAGTTCCTCTGCTAGAATTCCAACTTCCCATTCTTTAAAATGGGGATGACAATTCCCATCTTGCAGGGTGTTGCCGCTGGGAAATATGACAGAGGTACGAAGTGCCTAGCACAGAGTGGATGCTCCCCGATTGGCAGTGACCTCCTCCCTTTCCGCACCGGCTGGAAGGAGCAGGGGAGAGGAAGGAATGGGGATAGGGAGCCGCGGCAGGCAGGAGAGAGGCCTCCGGAGATGTTGACACAGAGGTGAAGGGTCACGGCCCACGGGACGTGGCACCCCCGCCGCCGGGAGCTCCATGCAGCAAATCTCGTTCACCGAGTAGTCACTGGGGCCTCCTGCTTGCCCGTCTCCCCCAAGCAATTCCGCATGCGCCTCGGAAAACACCCTTCACCCCGCTACTCCCGTAACTGGCGCGAAGTGAGTCCCTCCCTTCCAGGCCTTGGAGCCCCTACTCGGCACCGGAACCTGCCCTCACCTGTGAGGCTGACACCGGGTCTCAATGTCAGTAGCGCCCCTTGGCCGCGAGCTCCCAGGGAAGGCGCGAAAGCAATAACGCTCAGCTTGCGGCCCAGCGACGCCCCCACCACGCCCCCCCTGGGCGGCCGGGCCCCTGTCCCCACTGCAGCCGGCGGCCGAGGGGTCCCCACAGCCACCAGCAACCAGCGTGTGGAGCACCGCGCCCATCTTGGAGCCCGGGGACACTGCGCC